AACGAGGTAGATCTATATATTGTCGCAAAAAATATCTCCAGGAAATATTTAAAAATCAAATTCTAGAACAATGCAAAGAGGAGGGTACTTTATATGTACAAGCAATTCCAGACTACACATTGGCACACGCCCACAGAGGCACAAGATGGTCACACTCTGGAAGGACATGCAAGAACTGACAAAGATCCCTACAGAATAATGGAGGAAGAGCCAAGAGCAACACTTCCTATTTTGCTCTTTTTTTTTTTTTTTTTTTTTGAGACAAGGTCTCACCTGGGCTAGAGTGCAGTGGTGTCATCATAGCTCACAGCAGCCTCAAACTCCTGGGCTCAAGCTATCCTCCTGCCTCAGCCTCCCAAGCAGCTGGGATATAGGCACGTGCTTAGAGGTCTTGAGTTCAGTGCTTCTCTAATGCTAGTCTTGCCCTCCACATGGATGAGCAGGACCTATCCTCCTTGGAGCACTGTCACGGGGATGCCGCTCCTTGCCCAGGTCGTTTCTGGGCAGCCCCAGCGGTTGGCACTCTCTTCCTCAGTGAGCTGAAGGCTGCACCTCGCAAGCTCCCACTGGCCATCCCCACGCCACCTCCAGGCCACACAGGTGTCCAGAGGAAAGTCAGGCGTCCAAAACACTCCACAGGCATGGTGACGGGATCCTGCCTTGCTTAGCACCTTGCCTGCTAATAACCAGAACTAATGCTTTTTCAAAAACGCATAAGCCAGTAGCACCTAAAGCATACTTGTTTTTCTGAAACACAAACTAAGGATAAATGGCCAGAGCACAGCATTTCTCACTAGACCCACTGAAGGAGGAATTCTCCAAAGCACGGATTTCTAACAGAAAACACCCTGCAGGGACAGACAGCCCTTAGGCAATCACAACATAGATTGGGGGAGGGCGTTATCGGCACATGTAAGAAATTTATACATGCTTTGTAATTTCACAACCCAGTACCTAGTTTTGAGCATGGGCGTGTCTGATGTTCCCGAAACTGGCTACTGCTTCCAAAAAGGATTTCGAAGACGCAAGCTGGGGGTGTGGCCCAGACCACTCACTCTCTCCCACCTGGACAGCAGCGCTGCTGTCAGACTCTGCCCGAACCTTGCTCGGCCCTCGCTTCTCTCCCGGAGAGAAATGGGTGGTTCTTTCAGAGCATCTTTCACTGGGCTTCAGCTTGGTCACCTTTTTCCAGGCAGGGGCCCAGCATGACAGCAGTGGAGGCCCTGCTGAGCCAGGGAGGACCGAGCAGCGGGAGCACAGTTATGACAATCAGCTGCCCTGTGAGCTGGGAAGGTGGCTCGTTCATCCAGGGCCTCTGGGGACGTTCTAGTCACATTTTCCACCTGCATTCTGGGGAGGAGATAGGTAATATCTACATCTAGACCTATCTGTACAGATAGAGATGCACACATACACATAAGGATATATACACACACACGTGAATGAGGAGTTATAAATATACACACACGTGTGTATGTGAGGGATTTAGAAATACGCACACATACATAGCCTTATAGATGAATTGGAGTCTGCTATATCTACCCTCCTTTTGCTTTTCTGCCCTGCTAATCTACGAAATAAAAATTGATGGATTTCAAAAATTCACATGCATACACATATATAAGGATAGATGTGTGTATATATTTTAATCCATCAATTTTTATTTCCTAGATTAAGAGAAAGGTAGACTTGGAAGTGACCTGGGCTGCTACTAAGCGTTCTGGATAGGTGTAGACAGAAATTTTCTCCAATCCACCTGCACCTGAGACCTGATCCCTGGGGTCCCTCCCACCTGAAGGCCTGTGGTAGGCAGAATGATGCCCGCCTCCCCAACGGTTTCCACAGCCTCATCCCCCACTGCTGTGAATACGCTACCTCACACGACTCAGGGAACTTGCAGGTGTGGTGAAGGTTCCGGACCATGAGATGGGGAGATTATCCAGAATGATCAGGGTGGGGCCAGTCTTTATGAGCGAAGCAGCCCACCGGCTGAGCTTAGAGAAATGGGCTGGGAGAAGAGGCAGGAGAGACGCAGGGCATGAGAGGGACTTGGCCCCCGTTCCGGCTCTGAGGATGGAGGGGGCCTGGGACAGGGACCTTCTAGAGGCCTCTAGAAGCTGAGCACAGCCCCTACCCATAGCCGGCAAGGAAGCTGGGATCGCAGTCCTAAATGCCTTGACTTTAGTCAATAGCCCGACTGAGCCTGGCAGAGGACTGTCCCCGAGAACCTTCGGGTGAGGGCCCAGGCGATGGCACCTTGGTTTCGGGCTGTGGAGCTGAGGCAGGGAGAGGAGCTAAGCCCCCTGGGCTTTCCACCCACAGAACTGTGCGGCAGCAAATTTGTGCTGCTTTGTTACAGCGGCAACAGGAAACCAATATGTGGAAAGGCGTGGCCTGGCGGTGCGGGTGTTGAAAGGAGCCTGCTGCGCAGTCACAGCCGCTGGTGGCTGCCCAGCTCCCACACAGAGGAGCTGCCTGGGTGACGCCAGCAAGGGCAAGAACACCCCTGGCAGTGGGCATGTGGCAACAATGTCTGGAAAGGAAGTGGCTGAGATTCTTACGAGTTTTCAAAAACTGGGCCATACGGAAAACTTTTTACCTGGGAATGATTTTTAGGGGGAAAAGTTTGCCTTGGACTGATAAATTAGAGCATCTCTCCTTGTTCCTCCCCTTGCCACACTCCCTGCTGCTGGTGTCCCGGCGCAGTCCTCCGTTGCCGCTCGCTCTTCCCATCCGCACCCTTGGTCCAGACCCTCGTGGAAACACAGTGCTTTCAATTCTGCAGACTGTGGGCACAGCCAACCAGGACAACCAGCAGACACGTGTGTTCTGAAAGAAGGTTCTGGCAGAGCCTACCCATCACATACATTGCCACAAAGAGCAGCCTCTCTGAAATCCTCTGGCCACGCCTGGAAGCTGTGTTTGGAGTTGAGTCTCTCACACGTATTCTGAATGACCGACGTCTTCAGTTTATCATTGTCCAGTAGAAAGTGGTTTACTATTGCGGGTCAAAAAACTGAGATGCAAAAGTGTTTAAAAATGGCCTGGGACCTCATAATTCATTGCAGGGGAGCAGGTATTAGAAGACTTTTACCCCAGTCCTTCCTTGAGAGTCCTGCCGGGATTATGATGGGATAAGATCCAAGAGCTGGGAGGTCTGTCTGGAGGTGTGATGAAGACTCAGCAACAAAGCCACTACACATAGCTCCTCCGTGCTCCCCCGAAAGGTGGCGCCCAGGAGACACACAGAGCAGTAGATCCCCGAGGGCTGGGACAAGAGACAACTGAAATGACCCAGGCTTCGAGGTCAGCCTTCCTCAGCAGGGAGGCAGCGGCCTGTCCTGGGTATCTGTGTCTGAAATGCTGGCCGGGCATCCTGCACGCGGTCTCGGGGAGGCACAGCTGCCAGGGCAGGGGAGGAGGTGGCTGAGGCTGCCACGTCCTTTAGGCTTTGTTCCAGCTGGTGGCTCAGACCCCAGTTCCAGTTCTGAGGCGCATTTATAAAACTTAATATGACCAGCATGTTTTCATGATGCAACCGATTCCCTGAAAGACTTAGACAAGCCTTTTTCTTCGGGAAGGAGGCAAGGCTTGGCTATGAGATACGCTGAAACAACACTCCCTGAAAACAGGAGGGCGAAGAGAGGTGGCAGTGGTGCATGTCCTGTCTGGTAGGGGTGGGGAGAGGGAGGGAGAAGGACATTGCTCACTGGACCTGTTCTTAGAGCACAGGTGTTGCAGATTTCATTGCCTCGGCCACCTTTCCTTCCAGCCAACTTCTAGCCAACTCTAGCTTCCCATGTTATTAGCAGAAGACAAGACATACCTGTCGAATTTATTCTCCAAGTCCCCTTTGTACATCTTCCATATGTCCCAGGCCCTTCCACAGTACAGATTTGAATTAAAAAGATATTAGTTGGCTATAGAATCTGGACCTGGAACCAACATCCTATGCTGCCCATAAACACAGCGGTGCCAGAAAAGAGATACTGTCTGTGATGTAAATATATGTACATAGGACGACATTGTTCTTAGATCTTTCTAAGTACCACCCCCCATACACACAAGCCAGTTGTTCTTAGGATATGGGCTGGTTTACTTTAAGAAATGCATGATATGTACATCATATTAAAGTTCGTTGTTCTTTAAGAACTCTCTACCACAAGATGAAAGTTACTCCTGACAGTAGTGGGGAGTTTGAGTCCAGTCCACCTGGTTATATGACGAAGAAAGAGAACTGGGTCCTAGAAGAGACAGGTCAGTGGGTCCCACTGACGGACTCCACACCAGTGTGAAACCTGGGGGCCCAGGGAGGGAGGGGGAGCCCATTCCAGCACTTAATGGGTAAACATTTTTCTTTCCCGATTTAAAATGCTATGATACAGGCCCATATATACTGTTTGGGAGGACGGCAAATCATCCTCATTAATCCAAATGACTTGAGATTGACCGTCTTTAATCCATTCGGGATGATAAAAACGGTGTTCTGTTCCTGGCAGTAAAGCAGGTTACCCATACTTGCCGAAGGAACGCTGAACTGCAACTCCAGACGGAGGCTGTTCAGACGGGCTGAGGACTCTCACCTGGTGACTGCACGCCGGGATGTGGCCCCGCACACGGGCGCCCATCAACGCTCCGTATGGACCACCTGCCGGTCAAAGTGAGCTCAGCTGGAGCTCGCAGCCCTACTTCTCCCCAAACCAACCTGATCAAACACGATCCATGCTGGTTTCTGGGCTGGGCGAGGACTCATACCTGGCTTCCTAGCTAAGGAGCGCTTCCATTTAGACACGGCTGAGTCACCTAGAGACTCAAGTATTCAGACGCTACTGCTCATGCGAGCGTATAGGAGGGCGTTCGCTGGATGCTTTACAGAGCGGAAAAGAGTAAGATTCATGAGAAGAGAGGCCAAGGGAACGGATGAGGAGGTGAGAGTAATAGAAGGTGAGCTGGGTACTCGACACGTTGGCACTTGAAAACAGGACCACCAGAAAGGATATCTCGCAGGGCTGTCCTTAAGTGCATTTAGGAATCCTGTTTGCTGTGAACCTGTGGGAACGAAACCAAAATTTAGTATTCAGACACTCACCCCTGCATATAAACAGCCTTCATGCTCAAAGCTCACTCATCTACATGAAAATAATAGGTGCCTACAGATCAATTAAATAATTACATTTCGTAAGTGCTGTGACACTCAGTTTACTGATGAGACTGAGATTTCACTAAAGTTTTCCAGCAAGAAAACGGCAGACTCATAATTAGGCCCCACATCTGCAGGATATTTTTTCAATAAAAGCAGATGGATGTCTGCATACTTTCCCATAAATTATAGTTCTGATTACTCCTTTGTTTTCCTTATTTTAATAAGAAAACAGAATACTGTATGCTATTTTTTCTCTTCTGTTTTTCTGAAATTTGTTAACTTTTGACCCTGGAAGTTCTATAAACTAGGCTACATATAAAAGACTTCTTCCTCTGCACCCAGAGTAAACAGAGTCATAAAGCTGAAGTTTGTTACTGACTTCCTTTGGGTTTAAGACATTTTAATATGAGCTGTCTGTGCAAGAAAACATTTCTCTAGGGGCTTGAGTAGAGAGGCATCTGACAAAAAGCATCGACATCATACTTTTGAAAATAAAAGCCTAGACAGAGGAAGTCTTCAGGACCCCATTCTGGGGCAAAGATGCTGGGTCCCTCTGTGCTGTATGAAGTCACTGTGCTCCAGGGGACATGATCCAGCCTTCGTGTGGCAGTGAAATGAATGGGGAGGACAGTTATCATAGCTGGCGCTCCAGCGTCCCGTCCCCATGGTGTCTCTGAACACTGGCTTGGCGGCACCGTGGCAATTAGCTGCAGGGTGTGACTGGCCACCGTGTCCCCGTGTGTCCACCATGGGAAGGTGAAGAGGGGGTGGATTCCTATTCTTCCCGACGTCCCATTTCCTCTGTGCCCCTGCCCAGGTGCCGTGAGGTGGGACACAATTGGCAGGAAGGGATGGGAGAGAAACTTCGTCGAGAGCTGACAAGGAGAGACAGGTGCTTAAGGCTCCTTCCGCCATCTCCGCTAGGCCAGCAGGGCACACGCCGCAGGTCATGGGACAAGCACAGCCCGGAGGCAAAATGAGGGGAGCAAAAGGATTTATTCTTTCTCTACTGAACCCCAGTTGTGTGGCCTGCCTCCCTCCTCTACCAGGAAATGCAGACTTCGCCTGCCCAGGAATCTCGGGGACCACAGCGCTCTCCCACCATCCCCCTGCGAGCTCACCACCTGGCAGAGAGGCCCCAGGTGCCAGCTCTGCCTTTGGCCTATGTCAGTCTTGGGGGTGGTGACAGCAGCCATGGAAACCCCGTGGCCTTCCCCAGAGCATCACATGCCCAGTGAGATGGGGGCCCATGGGGTTGTTGGGTGTAGGGGGTGCAGAGAGAGGAAGGACAAGCTTCATTCATTTTGCCCAAAATGCTCAGATAACTTGCAGGCAGGTAAATTCTTAATACTTTCTTTTTGTACAAGATTAGGTTAACAGTATTTAAGCATAAACTACAGTAAACTCCAGAGTGGTGGAGTTGGGGTGAGTGAAACTTTAGAGAAGGTGAAAGAGCCACGTGCATCACAATCCAACCGTGGTGGCAGGTGGCAGACTTCACTGTGTGTGTGTGCATGTGTGTGAGAGTGTGTGTGACTGTGTGAATGTGAGAGTGTGTGATTGTGTAAGCATGACTGTGTCTGTGTGTGTGTGTGAGTCTGTGAGCAGTACAGCACTGAGCAGTGAAAACTACCCCCTGGTATCTACAATGCAGGGGCAAGGCTGTAAGTCCAATGAGATAACACACATGAAAGCACGCTGACGTTGTTAAAGATGACACAAAATGTCATGTATGAACACTACTTCTTAGTGTCAGATGCATGCTGGAGTATCGGTACTTATTTTTTCTCTAGTTGTGTCAACAGTCGCTTCTTTGAAAATAACCTAATGCTAGGCTTTCTCTCTGCTTCTTTCGTCTATTAATGCACAGATAGGACCCTGGCCACGTTTTCGCCCTTGTGGGACTCTGAAAAGAGAGCGAGGTGCCTCTGCAGAGCCACCATCTGCGTGACCCCAGCCAGTGTGGAGAAGGCTCTGATGGATGATCACTGTCTTCTTGCAAGCCCCCACCAAGTTATGGCTCTCAAGCATGTATTACAAATTTGTGTCACATTTGGATAAAAGATTATAGTCAGAAAGAATGGGAACTAGGATTTAAAATACCTATGAAAATTTGGGATAGTCTATTTACTGTCCAAATTTGATTAATATTCAAAAAGAGCCAATGCGAAACATTCCATACCACCCAGCATGAACCCCACCAAAAGAGAAGGGGAGGAAACGCGCACACACATGAGCCTGAGAACACCCGTTTGTGTTTCCAGCTCTGCTGCATGGGAAGAAATTGAGGCATCTGCTCAGATACTTCTGGAAACATTCCAGAAAGAGGCTATGTACTTGCTAATGGGCGGTTATACTTCTGGAATGTGGGCAAGAGGCAAGGCTGGTCTTTAATGTCGCTAATGGCACCGTAATGGAAGTTTAAAGGCTTAAATTTACAGTTCAAAACAAATTAACTTCCTTCTCATCACTCCCTATTGTAGGAAAGTGAATGACCAGGAGACAAAAGAAATTCAAAGTTATGACCCTGAGAATGGGGAATGAAAAACATGCCATTTGCTTAGGCAAATATGCATTAAAATCATTTACATCCACATCTAATTTTAAATAAAGTTGCTTCCTTGACATGCCAGGGGTCATTTACTTATGTTGTAGCAGATAATTAAACACCTCGTCAAACATAAGTTTTTCACACATACAGGTCTGTGCGCAAGAAAACCCGTGTCTCTCCCCAGACGTTTTTCCCAGGAAGGGTGACTGTTCCTGCATAAGTAGGTAGCATGTTAAGATAAAAGCTCTGTTGTTCCATGGTACCATTGTGGCACGTTGTCCTTTGTGCAAAATGTGGGGATGAACCTTCCAGGGGACCCCGTGGCAGGAGCGAAAGTGAAGTCACTGAGGCTGGGATAGGGATGAGTGTCAAGGAAAAAAGTCCCATAGGGTGAAAACGTGGCCCTGGGGAGTGCTGTGGGGGGAGGTGGGGAGGAGGAAAGAGGGAGGGAGGAAGGGAATGGAGATGACAAGGGCCAGCAGGAAGTGAGGAGGGGACAGGGAGAAAGAAGGGGAAAGAGCGAGCCCGAAATGACCAAAATATTAAATCAAAATTAAATCAGAAAACCAGTCAGGCAAATGGTCACATACGTAATCTGATTTCGCCAGCATACTTACGAAGAATGACGTGGGTGATAACGAATGCAAATATAAAGACTGTCAGAAAAGACAGAGATAAAATAAACATATAAAAAAATCTGTAGTTTCTTTTCCCCACACAGTTGCCTACCCAGGGACAGTGGTGATCAAACCGTTCTGAAATGAGAGGCAGAAAAAAAAAAAGTGAAAATCAATTAATATAATGTCTTTTTACCTGAGGAAGCCTCTCCCCTCCCACCCAAAACTCGGAAAATATAACAAAACAGTATCATACTACATATTTCCAAATTAACCACGCAGAGAAATGCTTAACATCAAGACATTTCAAGAACACAATTATTCTTTCTACAAAAGTTAGCTGTTTCGAAAACACAAAGTATATGCATTGTTCTCAAATGGCAACTTACAGAAATTTGCTTTAAAAGATTCTCTTCTTTTGTAAAAGAAACTTTCTTGCATTCACTGAACAATCTTCCATTAAAATGATACTGACACCATCTGATGGTGGTGGCCTGGGCTGGGCTGGATGTGGTATTGGGTGACCAGTCTTGCACAGTAAGTGGTCATAGAGGTCACAAGGGCCCCAGACAGGACAGAGGGACAATATTTTGTTCTCCCATCTCAGTTACAACTGTTTAACAGATATTAATCACATGCATTAATACATTTGGCCTCAAAACATTTCATAAGGAGAATGATGGTGTTGCCCTATTTTACAGATGAGCAAACTGAGGCTTAGAGAAATGCGAGGCTTCTTGCACGGGGCTGTACAGCTCAGAAGCAATGGAACTAGAACTTGAGGCCAGGTCTTTCGGAGCTGTCCCTGTCTTCCCATGTCCCACTGCACATGCTGCCTCAGGCACTTTCTAATCTGACATCGCGTTGGGTATGGGCCATATTACACTGCACGCCATGGTACCCTGAGTGCAAACCCAGGGACTTTCACATGAAGTTTGTGAGGCATTCATGATTTGCATGTAATGTAACGTATGTAATGCATGTGCTTGCATGTAATGACAAAGTGCTTCTCTTTCCCACTCAGCTGACCTTCGATTCAGAACACTGTCCTAACACCCCCACTCGCACCAGACTGCCCGCCCGCCGCTGGGCAGGACAGTATGGGGCATACGACTTAGCTTTGCACTCCGGCTCTTTTCCAAGCTTAGCTTCTACCCCATTTTCACATTTATCTATCTACATGTGCTTAAAAGACACACAGGGAGGGCAATATGAGGTGTAACTATATACGTAAAACATTATACAGTTAGGCAAAGTAGTCAGTGTCATGACTTTCTGGTCACATATCACAAATCACTCATGTCACGGTTTATGCCAAATGCAAGCTCGTTTATTGAAAGGGCACAGGGACACCTGGATGGTGGTGGCGGCAGAGGAACGGCACGAGAATCACTGTTGCCTGCAAGTGGTATTAGCGAGAAGCAGCCAATCTGAGCAGAGGACACGAGGAGCCATTTGAGAGCTCACTGGCCTGGTGACAACCTGATGGCCTATAACATGCTCAACAAAAGCAATTGCCATGGTGTGCCCATGTGAGCTACATGTTAACACGTGCCGCCAACGCCACAGAGCTGCAAGATCTAGTCCCTTCACTGCGGCTGGGGGAGGGAGGGGTGAACGGGTGGAGCGCAGAGAATTCTCAGGGCAGTGAAGTGCTGTCTGACGACACTATAATGACAGACACATGTCATTACACATTAGCCCACAGCCAGAGAATGCACAACGCCAAGAGTGGACCCTAATGTCACCCGTGGACTTTGGGCGATTACAAGTGTCAAAGCAGGCTCGTCAGTTGTAAGGCATTTCCCCCTCTGGTGGGGTGTTGACAGGGAGGGAGGAAGGGGATACAGGGGAACTCCCTGTACCTTCCTCTCAATTTTGCTGTGAACCTAAAACGGCTCTAACAAAGCCTTTAAATATTAAAAACAAATCATTTCCCCAAGTCGCTGATCTACACGGTCCGTACAATGAGAGGTCTACATGAAGAAGTACAAAAAGAGAAAAAATATCTGAATCAGCCAGATTTTCCTAAGACTTTGAGCCTGTCATTTTGAGACACCGCTTTTCTTCTTAGTATACGACTACAGGGAAGGGCATGAGAGTGGCAGCTGGGACGAAAGGCACAGGCGAGGCTGGAGTCTCTGATTCTGACCATAGGGTGTGCTGTGGGTTGAGCCTCTTAACTGAAGTGAAAGTCGCCTCTCAGCAAAGGAAGTGGGCCCGGGAGGCGTCGCCCCACGTGAAGCGCAGAGATCTTGCAGCCCCTGCGGGTGCTTTCTACAGGGCAGGCAGTCGCTGTCCTTTTAGCTTAGAAATTTTAGTAACCGCTAAGCCACGATCCGTGCTTTCCTGCTGGAGGCAGGGGGTCCACAGAAGCGAAGGCCACAGGTGACGCAGAGAGACCACTGCTCCTGGAGGTGGGGAGACCAGCGCCGTCGTAGGGGTGGCGTGGACTCCTGGCTTCCAGCGGCCCTGAGCTGAAAGCCGTTTCTAGCTGGAAACTTGTCTTTCCGAAAACTTTCTTGGCCGGCAGAAATCCCACTAAAAATGTAGGCTTACTGAGAGATTCCTGCTTTGACTGTTTTTCACATCCTCCGTCGTGTTTGTTGAATTTACGGTGCTGAATGAGTCTAAGGGCTCCGCGGGCACCTCTGTGGACTCAGCACACGTCAGGGTCTCATGGTCTCAGCGCCACCACCCACATGCTGGTGCCCGACCCCTGTGCTCCCTCTCTGCCCGACGCCTGGTGACGGGCTGTGCCCAGCCTGTGCCTCCTCTCTCCTCCCTGGACCTCTCTCCCCTCACTGGCAGTCTCTTTTTATCCCAAGGCCCAAATGCCAACTCTACGCAGATGATGCCAAATTGCCGCCTCCCGCCTCCAGCAACAGACTCCTGCTGCACGGCCTGCCTGGCCCTCAGACTTGACTTGGCCCTGAGAGGACTTCCGGTCCTCCTGCCTAAACACCTGCCTCTCCAGGCTCCCCTCTGGTAAGCTGTGCAGGCCAGAACCCCGGGGTATCAATCCTGCCCCCGTTCTTTTCGTCACCCCCACAGCCAATCCATGACCAAGCCCCATCAGCTCCACCCCAGCTTCCTCTGAGGTCAGCTGCGGTGGCCCGGAGGTGCCCCAGAGCTTGTGTGTTGGAGACTTAATGCCCGATGTGGCAGTGTTGAGAGGCGGGCCTTTCCCAGGTGATTAGGTCATGAGGGCTCCGCCCTGGTGAATGGATTAGCGCCACTATTGCAGGAGGTGTTCCTGATAAAGGGATGATTCACCCCCACCTCTCACACAGTGCACTCTCTTGCCCTCCACCTTCCTCCACGCATGACACAGCAAGAAGGCCCCCACCAGTGCAGCCCCTTGGCCTTGGACTTTCCAGCCTCCAGAACTATAAGAAATAACTTCCTTTTCTTTATAAATCACTCAGTCTCAAGTATTCTGTTATAGCAGCACAAAATGGACTGAGACATCACATTTACTTTTTACTTGTTTTTGTCTGCCAAGCCTACTCTAAGCGTGGTAAATATTTGTCATTTGACAAAATACATCCTCATACTACCAAAACAGCCTCTCCATGAGTAAGTACGTTGCCCAGGGTCACATGGTTAACATGTAGCACAGCTGGGATGGGCCTGGTGCTCTCAGAACCTGAGCTCTTGACTATTAAATGCCACACCACTGCCTTTTGTGAGTGTTGTCCATGTACCCAACACCACATCACGTGCTGGCACACTGAGAAGAAATAAGAACAACAAAGGACTCCACGGCTTCAAAGAATTTATCTTATTTGGTGAGGACACTTTTCAGACTCCAAAATATTCCTCAGATCCAAGGGATGAACTCCTAATAGAACTAATTAGCTTCTAAATCAGTCAGCTCTGTCACCATTGTGGGTGGCATATGACACTCTTCCTTTATGGGTCAAGGATGAACATGGGCCACGGACGCACGGTGGAGGCCTCACGTGGTGGCGTGTCCTGTCCTGGGTGGGACGAGCAGCAGGAAGCTCAGGAGCTGCTGGGGGTGATTTCCAACAGGGAAGCTCATGTAACTCAGCTCCTGGGGCAGAAGAGTGGACAAGACCCGGGCACAAGCCGAGCTGGGGACAGCGCGAGTGGCCGCAACCGACACATGATGTAGCTCCCAGGACCCAACTGAACGCATCTGAGAAGCTTCAAACGGCCATTACGACAGTATTATTTGTGTATTTTCTGTGTGCCAAAGCTGAATGGGTGTCATGTGTCCTAGGGGTGGCAGGGGTGGGTGCATGTGATGGGAGTTTCATTACGGAAACATTTCAGGGTCGTGGATACATCCCTTGATTCTAAAGTTTAGATCCTGGGCTACTCCAGAAGGGAGTGGTCTCGAGAAAAGAAAAGAACTGTTATCTGAGGAACGCCAAGTCCTTTTAAATTATCAGGCCTAGAGAGACATGAAAATGAGGCACTGATCACATTCTACTCCCCACTTTGAGCCATGTATTCATCTCTTGAAACCGCTTGCTACTGCCACAGGTAGCTATAAATTAACCCAATAATGCTGTGCAGACGCTATAACCCCCACCCTACAGTGTCATGATGCATCGCCAATCACTGATCAATGCCATTTCCATAAACCAATGAGTCGTGACAAACAACTTTGCATCAGCCCACTCCCTGTCCCCTCTTCTGCCTTTAGAAACCTGCTCATAACGAAGGCCAGACGAAGCTCATAGCCCAGGCTATGTGGGTCTGAGTCCTCCGGGCAGCTGCCCCTACTTTGGCTCAAGTGAACTCTTTAATCATATTTTGTGCTTCAGCCTCTTCCTTTCAGGTCGGCGGTGTGTATGCTGCAGCATCGCTGGGGCATTCCCTGACACAGAATGAGGAGCTATTCCCTAAATGACGGCTGTTCAGTGGAACCCTGGGGGTGGGCTGGGGGTGTGGCTGGAAAACCAGTTTCTCTAAAATTGTGAGGGACTGGCTTAGCTAGCTGGGGCGCCCTGACCACGCCTCTGGCAGCCTCGTGCTGCCCTGCAAGGATTTGTGGATCGTGTCCCTCTTTCTGCCAGGTGACCTAGAGGTGAGGATCACTTCTAGTCATCCTATAAGCCCTGGCACCTACGTGCCTGGCATAAAGCAGACGTTCAATAAATATG